ATTAATGTGATATTGCGGCTTTAACATTTGTTCGGATATAATTACCCGGGTATCCGAATATTCAAATTTTAATTCATTTTAAACGACAAAAATTTAGATTCACAGATCCGCGGAAAATCCGAATAACGGATAACGCCGTTTTGAGATCCGAATTGTATCTCAGGTCAGATACCCAGATAAATATTTATCCAAATACTTATAAGTTTTATTTTAACTTTATTTTAGCAATTGTGGCAAGTTAATTTCTTAAAGCTTACTACACCTGTTGTAGATCGAAACATACTCTCTGGAATCAAATCTAATTTTTTTGTTACAAGAGAGAGAGAGAAAATATATGTATCGAAAGCCTTTATAAATATATATGAAATATATATCGTAACTAATTTAATCGTAAAACATTTTTCCAAAAATTAAAACAAATGTTTAAAAAACATTTTTTAAACGTTGCAAAAACATTTTCCTAAACGTTAAAACATACGTTTATTAAACATTAAAAAAAGATTTTCATAAATATTAAAAAAACATTTTTATAAACGTTTAAGAAACGTTTTTTTAATGTAAAAAAGAGAACTTATCCCATTATTTTTAACATTTTAAAAATGTTTTTTAAATGTTTTTTAAATGTTTTTAAAAACATTTTTTAAATATTGTTTTGCTACTTGGGTAGTCGCATCGTCCATTTCTTCTTAATTACGTCAGATGTAAAAAAAATGCGTGCTAAAAATTCTCGTAAAATATGTTGAAATAAAAAGATATATCTATAAAGCAACATTTACAATTGAAGCGATCGAGAAAATCTGTAAAATTATCCGAACTACATCGAGATAAAAATATATATCCAGAAAATGACACTTGAAATCGATTAAGTATGTCCCTATTTAGAACACTTTCGTATTGCTCCAACAATTAATAAATATATATATATTAATTGTTATATATTAATTATAACAATAAAAATATATACTGTGACGTGGTAGCCGTGGAGGCGCCCGTCTCAAGAATCCCGTGTCGATTTGGCGAGAATGTTTTTCGCGTGTCGCGTCGCTAACGGTTTTTCGAGACCTTGCCGAATATCGCGTCCCGTCGAATATTTATTGTGAATATTTAGAACAAAGCGAAGAAGAGATTTTTGCGAGCGGAGCAGATGCGAAGGTCAGCGCGTCCCGAATTTTGTGCCCCTCGACGCCCCTTGCCGGCCATCAGGACAAGGAGCGGAGGACAACGAGAAGCGGAGGACATCGAGGAGGGAGGATGCAGCGGATGCCAATTAGCGAAGCCCTCACTCAGGTGAATCGCACTCTCGTACTTTGTGATTAAAATATATTATCGCGAATTATCGGGCGCTCAGCAATAGAGAATATTCTATCGCTGAGAAGCTATCGTAGTTCGAACACAGTATCGTGTTTAGACGGATCAGCTGTATTTACTTGTAGCGAAGCAGCCGTCGCGAGAAACCCGGCAGAAAAAAACGGGAGAGCCGGGAGAGACAACAGGCGAACTCACGATGTCAACAGTGTCTCGAGACGAAAAGTGTCTCGAGACAATAGTACCGAAATCTGCCGATTCTCGACGATCGACGACCCCAGGACGAGGGGGGCAGCGACGAGGGAGGATCCGCGAGGATACGCGATCCTCCCAGGAAGAATCAGCTAGCAGCCTTACCGCGACCATTGCCGCGTACGGAGAGAGCCATCGCGAGTACCGTACCGACAACGAAAGAGAGGAGAGAGAGTGACGACAGAGCGGGTAGTGAGAGAGTGCGTGAGAGAGAGAGCGGAACGAGAGAGAGAGAGAGAGAGAGAGAGGAGAGGACAGTGAGCGGGCGAGATAGAGAGCGGAACGAGAGAGAGAGAGAGAGAGAGCGAAGAGGGAGATAGAGAGGATCGCCGCCACTACCGACCTCGCCGCCGTCGTCGCCGACGCCGCCGCCGACGCAAGGGTCGCCACCGGAAAATTGTAAGACTGACCATCTGCTCCAAATTTATTGGTGTCGCGCATCGTATCGTATCGTGTCGTGTCTCGTCCGCGGAGTGGTCGCGCGAATAGAAAAGGCTCGCCTGAGGAAAGCGTCCTCGGGTTTCGTGTACGTTTCGCGAAGAGTACCGTCTCGAGAGGAGCGTTGTCGTGACGACCACCTCTCGTATACCGACTATCGGGACGTGCGAGAGTCCCCGAATAAACGTCTCATTATCATCCATATCGAGTCCAGTAATTTCACCTTCTTCTAACCCATCCCGTCTCCGACTCTAATTTACTAAGAGCTACCGGTCCCGACGGTTCCGGTACGCGCATTTTTTTGTAATAATTATCTACTCTCGCGTTTATCGAGGTGGTGCGGCCTTTCCGTACCTGGCGCCCAACTCTCGCAAAAATCTTAGTGGCGTGTCCGGGAGCCGACGGCAATTTGCCGACGCGGCGAACAGGCGACTGTTTGCCGTCGCTCGCGAAACTCACGTTCGCGAGTACCGTCGCAATACATGAAATTAATGTATAATAATACAACCTTTTTTTAAACTAATTTATTTCGCCACATTAATTTTACTATTACTTATTGATTCTTAAAGCAAAAGGAAAGTGTTCGATATATTTTAAACGTGTCCTTAATTGATCGCAAATGTCATGTTATGAATATATTTTATTATTTCGACATATTTTGTAAGAATTTTTAGCATATATTTCCTCGAATTTGATGCCAATAAAAAAGAGATGAGCGATGCAAATATTCAAAACAAAAAAATAATAATTAAATATATAAGCATTTCACTTATATTAAATAAAGGTGATATAAAAA